CGAAATCCCGCCTGATTCTGCCTACGCCTTTCTGGGGGAGCAAAGAAATCTGCTATTCGACTCATATTGTCAGCGTTTTCCCTGTTTGTCACAGTCACATTTTGCACTATTGGGGAAAATATCTCCTGCATGGTTTGTGCTAACACCCCTATCATATTATGGTTACTGTCATCCATCAATTGCCTAAAAGCCAATTGGTTGTCTGTGGTTAGGATAGGCATTGTGCTATAACCCACCGACCCTTGGTTATTTGTCATAAACTGATTCGCCCCAGACCCAGACCCTAGTTGTGGAGATGAATTCGATGTGGAATTGTGTAAACCTACCATAAAAGATGTTGGCATTCCATAAGAGGAATTTCTGGTTCTATTCCCATCGAAACCGGGTGGTCTAGTTAATGGAGTGGCGAAATGGGATTGTGTCCCTGATGGTGGAACGAATCCCCCAGGGTAGACAATGGTTCCAGTATTTCCTAAGACCGAACTATTAGTTGATATGCCACTTACCCCATTGGTGGCTATGTTACTGGTCGAAGATGCAACAGACTGTGCAGTCGAAGGGATTACATTAGATGTTCCGATCGAAGTGGACGCGTTAGTGCCTGTTGCATGTGGGCCATTTTGGTCCCCTTGTTGATTGTCTGAAATAGACATTTTGTCCAAACGTTTTCTTCTGGATAAAGGTTGGTTGCTGTTGGTTATCTTACCACTTCTCAGGTTCATAAAACAGCAAACTTCTTAGGTTCCAACGTTTTTGTAATGGTTATGTTTCAACAATCCTTATTTCTAATACCCAATTATTGGTCCCACCAGGTGTGCCAATTTGTTTCCAGTGATTTCTGGTAAACAACCGCTAGTCTTCCAAACTATCGAATAATCTTTCTGACTGTTATTCAATTCCTCTGGTAACTCACAGGATCGACTAGATTGATCCTAGGACTCCTTGGATATTAAGGTTACTCTCACGATCGAACAGATATTCATGGTTGATATTGTATATTTGTTTGGCCTATTTCGATTTCTCTCTCTCTAAGTCTAAAGATATAATCAAAATGTGTGTGAACACTAAATTACATGAATAAATGCTAATTGTAAAGCTAGTTGTAAAGACATGTAAAACTGTGTAAAAGTGAAGTAAATGGTTTCGACTTACAGAACAGTTAATACAAAGGTTTTCTGGAACGTAAAAGGTTTGAAATATGAAGAAAGCGTTTAATACAAGAAATCTTTAAATGACTTTAAGTAAAAATATGCATTCGAAGGATAAAACTTGAAGGTAAAGGTATGTAAAATATGACAGTTTTCTGAGATAAGAAGTGCTTGAAATATAAAGAAAACATTAAAATGTGAAACTTTGAAGAAGAGACTTCGAAATGAAAAGACTGTAAATAAGAAAACTTGTAAAGGTTATTTGACAAAAAAGGATAAAGGAAAGTACTGGAAATGATAAAAGGTTTTCATTAAATCAGAAATACATGGTGCTATCATACATACATTTCTCTTGCATTCGTTTCCCTTGCCATGTGGTAGTTTGAATGTTATTGAGTATTTTGTATAATAGATATGACACCCGAAATCCTAATACTAAGACTTCTATTTATACTAATTCGACCATAACGGTCTTGCTATAGGATTATGCCACGTTTAGAACATGCAGGACAATGCCTCTTTCATCTTTCCACGTGTCCCCAAATGCTCCAACGCATAACTTTCAAACTTCGAAAGTCCCGCTTCCATTTGAATTTCAAATGCTTTGGTGCTTCTCCGTTTCAAACACTCTTCCCAGACACAGCCTTGTTGTTATTTCGATACTTCTTTAGATATGTTCCCATAATTGCCACTCGAAGCTCCAAGCTTTGACACACTTATTCGAAACACTGCTTCTGCTACTTCGAAACATGACACTTTACCTCATTTCGATCAAAACGTTTAATTCATTTGGCTTCTAATAACATTATCAAAATCTTCAGCCAACACCACCCAGACCAACTCTGTGAAGGATGTCTAATTGGGAAGCAATTCCGAAAAAGTTTTCCAAAGGAATCAACGTCAAGAGCGACAAAGCCACTAGAGCTCATACACACGGATGTCTGTGGACCAATCAAACCCAACTCGTTTGGTAAGAATAAACACTTTCTCCTCTTTATTGATGATTATTCCAGAAAAATATGGGTTTATTTCTTGAAGGAGAAGTCAGAAGTATTTAACAACTTTAAGAAGTTCAAAGCCCTTATGGAGAGAGAAAGTGGTCTTTCCATCAAGGCCATGAGATCTGACTGAGGAAGAGAGTTCACTTCAAATGAGTTCAACAAATATTGTGAAGACCATGGAATCTGTCACCAACTGACTGTGCCAAGATCGCCTCAACAAAATGGAATAGCAGAGAGAAAGAATCGGACTATACTTAACATGGTACGAAGCATGCTCAAGAGCAAGAAGATGTCGAAGGAGTTTTGGGCCGAAGCAGTGGCATGTGCAGTTTACTTGACAAATCGTTCCCCAACAAGAAGCGTGCATGAAAAGACACCCCAAGAAGCATGGAGTGGAAGAAAACCTGGGATCTCTCACCTCAAAGTATTTGGAAGCATTGCCTATACCCATGTTCCAGATGAAAGAAGAACAAAGCTCGATGATAAAAGTGAGAAGTATGTATTTGTGGGTTATGACTCAAGCTCTAAAGGGTACAAGCTTTATAACCCAAATAGTGGAAAGATCATCATAAGTCGTGATGTGGAGTTTGACGAAAAACATTATTGGGATTGGAGTGCTCAAGAAGACAAGTATGATTTTCTTCCTTACTTTGAAGAAGAAGAAGAAGAAGAAGAAGAAGAAGAAGAAGAAATGGAACAATCAATGATAGAGGAACATATTACAACACCTTCCTCACCGGCACCAAGGTTGGATGAAACAATTTCAAGTGAGAAGGCACCATGACTAAGGAGCATTGAAGAGCTTTATGAGGTAACCGAAAACCAAAACGACATTAACCTCTTTTGTCTTTTTGGTGATTGTGAGCCTCTAAGCTATCAAGAAGCGGTAGAAAACATAAAGTGGAGAGACGCCATGGACGAAGAAATCAAGTCTAACACGAAGAATGATACATGGGAACTTACTACACTTCTACAAGGACATAAAGCAATTGGAGTAAGATGGGTGTACAAGGCAAAGAAGAATGCAAAAGGAGATGTGGAGAGATACAAAGCAAGATTGGTGGCGAAAGGCTATAGTCAAAAACAAGGAATTGACTATGATGAGGTATTTGCTCCTGTTGCTCGTCTTGAAACTATTAGACTGATCATTTCCTTGGCAGCCCAAAATGAATGGAAGATCTATCAAATGGATGTGAAATCAGCCTTCTTGAATGGTTTTCTCGAAGAAGAAGTTTATATTGAGCAACCACTAGGCTATGAAGTAAAAGGGCAAGAAGAAAAAGTCTTGAAGTTGAAGAAGGCATTGTACGGTCTTAAGCAAGCACCGAGAGCTTGGAATGTTCGAATCGACAAGTACTTTCAAGACAAGAACTTCATCAAGTGCCCATATGAGCATGCACTCTATATCAAAGCGCAAAGTGGAGATATTTTAATTGTGTGCTTGTATGTAGATGACTTGATTTTCACAGGGAACAATCCAAGCATGTTTGAAGAGTTCAAGAAAGACATGTCAAATGAATTTGAGATGACAGATATGGGGTTCATGGCATATTATCTTGGCATCGAAATAAAGCAAGAAGACAAAGGAATTTTCATCACCCAAGAAGGCTATGCCAAAGAAGTCATTAAGAAGTTCAAGATGAATGATGCCAATCCAGTTGGCACCCTGATGGAATGTGGTAGCAAGTTAAGCAAGCATGAAAATTGGGAGAATGTTGATCCAACTCTTTACAAAAGTTTGGTTGGAAGTCTACGTTACTTAACAAGTACAAGGCCAGATATTCTCTATGTTGTAGGAGTTGTAAGCCGATACATGGAAGCTCCAACAACAACTCACTTCAAGGCCGCAAAGAGAATCCTTAGATACATTAAAGGTACAACTAACTTTGGCTTGCACTATTACTCTTCTAATAATTATGAGATTGTTGGCTATAGTGATAGCGATTGGAGTGGAGACTTGGATGATAGGAAGAGCACTACTGGTTATGTGTTCTTTTATGGGAGATACTGCTTTCACTTGGATGTCAAAGAAGCAACCAATAGTCATACTATCAACTTGTGAAGCCGAGTATGTCGCCGCCACATCATGCGTTTGTCATGCAATTTGGCTAAGAAACTTGTTGGAAGAGTTTAAAATGCCACAAGAAGATCCAATGAAAATATGTGTTGATAATAAATCAGCAATTGCTTTGGCAAAGAATCCAGTCTTTCATGAAAGAAGTAAGCACATCGACACCCGTTACCACTTCATAAGAGAATGCATTGAGAAAAAGAGGTGAAGTTGAAGTATGTAATCTCTCAAGATCAAGCTGCCGACATTTTCACCAAGCCACTAAAGTTGGAAACTTTCGTGAAGCTAAGGAGTGTGCTTGGAGTCACAAATCAAGTTTAAGGGGGATGTTGAAAATATTAAACTTGATTTGGGCCTAAATTTATTAATTGGTTTTTGGACTTAGTTATTTTGAGCTTAAGTAGTTTTCTAGAGAATTCTTGTAATATATGGAATCTCTAGATATTTCTTATAATTGTAATATTTTCTAGAATGGTCTTTGGATCTCTAGAGTTGAGAACTCTCTAGAATTAGTGTGTCTAGAGTTCTCCTTAGAGTACTATAAATAGAGATGTAATTTCACACATTTGCATCAAGCAAAAATACAAAGTTCTTCTCCTCCATAAAGAATTATCCTACTTATCAAATTTATATTTAAACCTTCAATATTCCACACACACTTCTCCTTAACATAAAAGGTCTTATTTCCAACAAATTCTAGTCTCTTTGTTGGCCATCTATGATTCAAAGCTTAGAAGGGCCTCTTATTTATTTACCTCTACACACAAATCAAATCAATCTTCACCGGGAAGCTTCCTCAATTGGCTGTAGACAAACAAAACATAAATATAATTTCACAAACAAAACTATATCTCTGCCTAAATAACAATCAGTGAGTATAAAAAGACGAGGCTCGCTAAATGGAGTTTGAAGCTGATTTTTAAATGCACCAGGAGTGTGTATACCAACAAAAGCATGAGCACCAAAAAACATGGTCTCAGCCAAAACTCCACACTCGCCACCTGAATCTGTGGTGTTGTAAAAGGATCCTATGTTGGGCCAATCATGTTTGTGATAACCACTGCAGGATGATTGCAGTCAAGGTTCAATATACAACTAATAAATTAATTTACTTCACCTGCCACTGTTACAAGGTACGTATGCAGAATAAAAACAAACATGTCAATCATATATGGTATTGTTGATGCAATTGGTTCCACTTGAGCTGTGAATTGGTCCCACTGGGAGATGTATCTGTTTACATATGATATATCTCCTATGTGGAAAATGTAGTCATATATGATATATCTCCTATATCTCCTATGCAGAATAAAAACAAACCTGACAATCATATATGATATACCATTCCAAACAGTTATCATATATTGCACATGTAGTCATCTCATGAGACAAATTTACATGGATTTCATGTTTCCAATTCTATGCAAGGAAAGCCTCTATCTAATGTAGAATAATATAATCCAGTATATCTAAAGTGTCAAAATTTGAGATATTCAGTCGTAAAGATCCTTACTTTGCACATGTCACCAAATATGACAACACGCTATAGTGACTCCTGTCCGGGATAAGGCAATAACTTGAATGGCAACTTCTTGCTCCAAATGTATGAACCTGTTAGACAAAAGATGACCTAATCGGTATGTATACCTGAGAAATGTAAAACAGAAAACTAAAACAGACTCTGCAAATCCTCATTGTGTAATGAAATACATATTTGAATGCATACATTAAATTTGGCCAGATTTTTGAGAAAACTTGTGTGTATGAAACCAGGGTCACACCAACCAACTGTTTATGCAGAAGAACCTACAGAGTGAGAGTAGAAAACACATCGCAACCGCATTATAACTATATTAGTCCATATATCAAGAATCAAACTCCATATATGATGATAACAGCAATTCAAAAAATGTTCACAAAATGCAGCAAGATAATGATCAATAACTTGGGAAGTTGGGACTGTTTTAAGTTGTGTTCTACAATATAATGATTTTAAGGTCTCTGCAACAACATTGCAATAGCGATTGCGGCTACATCTATCCCCCATTTTACCACAATTGCGACCAAAGCACAATTTAAAACAAATTAAAGACCTAAATATATTAAAGCTAACAATAAAAGACCAATCACAATACAAGATCAAAGCATATACCTGAGATAAGACTTTGTCCTCTTCAATTATAGGAGAATGCTCTTTCTCTTTCGCTGCCATCAATCACAAAACAGAAAACAAAACACATGATTCCAAATCCAAAAAGATTACAAAAAACACAGATTTCACTGAATTTCCATCTACAAACCATTGGGTTCCAAATTTCATTCTTTTCAAATCAGATACTCTCACAAAATCAACACTTTTCCCATACTTTAAACCGAATTCAGATATCCGGCTGCTGGAAAAAAACCACAGATATATAATCAAAATAGAAAAGTGAAAACAATAACAAAAATAAAAATGAAAAGCATAACCACTTGTAAATCTCGGATAGAATCATTGACCAATAGATTTTAGTGTATATTGAATAAAAATGAGAAAAGCATAGTCACTTTTAAGTTTAATGTGTTTTGATTGGTCAATTAATTTACATTTAATCAATTACAAAAAGAGATATAATTTAGTGCAAATCAATTTTAAAACAAAGGGTAAATTAAGAAGTTTGGTAGTAGTTTAAATTCTTAATGATGTATAGTTAAAGCACTCATAGATCTAAAGTTAATAGGAGATCAGATGATAACTTCAACAAGAAAATGAAATTAAGTTTTTAACAAATAAACTCAGTAAAAGACAAATAACATGATGAAGTCAAGCATCACAAATATTTTGTAATGAAGCTTTACGGTTTTAACATAGCTTCAATCTCATTTAGCAGAATAATGAAAATCGTTTCGGCCAGTGAACAAATTCATTTAACACATTAAGTGCAACAAAGTAACAAACATAAAGTATAATTTTTTTAATGAAATTCATCAAAATCCATTGTTAAAGAGTTCGATCTAGGTGAGAAATATGGAAGGTTAATCCTGTTAAATTATAATTCGATTGTGTCGAAACAGTGTGTCGAAGAGAGATTGTCCAGTCGAAGAGTTTGTGGGTCGAAGCAAGCTACACACAAATTTGATTGGTTTTAAATTTAGATAAATTTGATTTAGACCTAAAATAGATAGATTTGATTTAGTACTAAAATTGGTATTTTGAGCTTTTATAATTTTGGGCTTTGGTTTAATAAGTAAGTTAACCTAAATATATAAATAGAGAGGGTAACCCCTAATTTTGTAATTAAGTCAATTCATTGTAATCACAGAATTTACAGTTGCAAGTGATTAATAAAGTTTTCCACGGTTTGTGGACAGAGAGAAACTCTGCAAAAAATAATTGTTTTCTTTCTTGTCTTTTCTTTTTCTCATAATTCATTGTCATTGTGTGGTGATATCAATCTTGTCCATCAAGATTGGTAGAAATTCATCATAGATATTTGGTAGATTTCTAACATCTGGTATCAGAGCTCGGTTAACCGATTCAATGGAAGTATCGATCAAGAACGATTGAGGAAAAAGAAGAATTCACAATGGCGGTTTATGGGAATGCAAATTATCCAACAACTCTACCAATTCTGAAAGTAGACAACTATGAGAATTGGTGCAAACAGATGAAAGTTTTATTCAGGTGTCAAGGTCTTTGCGATCTTGTAAAGGATGGATTGGAAGCGCTTGAAGAAAACGCTTCAGAAGAAGAAAAGAAGAAACACACAGAATATGAGAAGTTGAGTTATAAAGCACTCTCTATAATTCATCAATGTCTGAGTCCAGAAAATTTTACAAAAGTGAGTGATTCAGAATCTTAAAAGAAGCTTGGGAGATTCTTGAGAAGTCTTTTGGTGGTGCAGAAAAGGTGAAAGAAGTGAATTACAAACTCACAAGAGAACGTATGAATTGCTTCAGATGGAAGATAGTGAGAGCATATCTGATTTCTTCACTAGGGTTACAAAACTAGTGAATCAAATCAAGGTATATGGAGAAACATTAACAACAAAAGTTGTTGTTTCGAAGATCTTGAGATCTTTGGCTCCTAAGTTCGACCACGTGGTGGTGGCTATAGAAGAAGAGAAATACTTTTAGAAATTGAAAAAGGAAGAGCTTCAAGGGATGCTTGAATCTCATGAACAAAGAATGACTGAAAGAGCTGCAGGTAAGTCAAAGAGTGATGTGGCTTTGCAGACACATTCAGCAAAAGAAACCAAAGGCAAAGGGAAGTGGTTCGGCAGAGGTAGAGGCGGCTACAACAAATCAACTGGTAGAGGAAACCAGAATGAAGGAAACATGTTAAATCAGAGAAGATCATATCAAGGCAACCAAAGAGGTGGTGTTGCAAATAGAGGAAGAGGTGGTGGTTGAAAACCTGACAAGAGTCACATTCAATGTTATAATTGTCAGAAGTATGGTCACTATTCCAGTGATTGTCCAGAAAAGCGAAAGAATCAAGAAAGTGATGCAAAGTTTGCAAAACATGAAGAAGAAGAAGAAGAAGAGATAATGTTGATGTTCACAACAAGACATGAAGGTAGATTCAAGGACCAATGGTACTTGGATTCAGGATGCTCATCACATATGTCTAGAAGGAAAGACTGGTTTGTCAACATAAATCCCTCAATGAAAAATATGATAAAATTCACAAATGACAATATCCTAGCAGCCGAAGGTATTGGTGATATTATGATTATGATGAAAGATGGAAAGTGGTCAGTAATTTCCAATGTGTTGTACATACCAGGCATGAAGAGCAATTTGCTCGGTATAGGGAAGTTGGTCAAAAAGAATTATAAAGTGTCGATCGAAGATAAGATGATGAGAGTCGTCGATGCAAATGGAAGATTAATCTTGAAAGCTCTTATGACTCAGAATAGAACCTTCAAGATCGAACTAAATATGATAGAGCACAAGTGTCTTTTGTCTGCAACTAGAAGAGATGAATGGATATGACATTATCTACTAGCCCATCTCAACTTCAGAGACATCAGAGATTTGAAGAGAAGAAATATAGTTTCAGGATTTCCTGAAATCGACATTCCAAATGAGGTATGTGAGAAATGTGTGCAGGCGAAGCAGCACAAGAATAACTTCAGCAAGGATGCAGGAAGCAGGTCAAATGTTATTCTTGAAGTCGTATACTATGTGCATGTGGACCAATCCAGGTGTATTCGATGGGAGGTAACAAATACTTTGTTACATTCATAGATGATTTCAGTCAAAAGTTGTGGACTTACCTAATCAAGAAGAAAAGTGAAGTGATCGAGGTATTTTCCAAGTTTAAGTCTATGGTCGAAAGAGAAAGTGGTCGAAAACTCAAAGTTTTGAGAACTGGTGGTGGTGGAGAGTATGTGTCGAAAGACTTCAACAAGTTATGTGAAAAGGAAGGGATTGTGCATGAGGTGGTATCATCCTATACTCCACAGCATAATGGAATTGTATAAAGGAAGAATTTAACCATCATAAATATGGTGGTGATAAGTATGTTGAAATGCAAGAATTTACCTAAAGAGTTTTGGGGTGAAGTTGTGTTGACTGCAACATACATTTTGAACAGATGTCCTACAAAGAAGCTAGAAGGAATTACTCCAGAAGAATGTTAGTCTGGTGTGAAGCCTAGCTTGAGTCATCTGAAGGTATTTGGATCTATTGCACATAGACATGTGCCAGATCAGTTGAGAAGAAAACTTGATGATAAGTCGAGTCAAATGATTCTAGTTGGATATCATTCGACAGGAGGTTACAAGTTGTTCGACCCAGTGAACAAGCAGATTGTGATCAATAGGGGCGTGATCATAGATGAGCTTAAGTAATGGGATTGGACTGAAAATGTCAAGAAAGATTCAGTGGGAATCCTACTTGAAGAACCAGAAACTCAAGTAAAAAGAGAAGTTCGATAAAGGAACCAGCAGTTATAGATCAATTAAGTACAAACAGACCTCAAAGAACAAGACGCGTGCCTGCAAGATTGTAAGATTGTGTGATTACATCAGATGATGTGATAGATAATGAAGGTGAGTTGGTACATTATGCTTTCTATACAGATGTCGAACCTGTCAATGCAGCTGAAGCATTGAAGGATTCAAAGTGGGTGGAAGCAATGAACGAAGAAGTGAAGTCTATCGAAGACCGCAACACTTGGTCACTTGTCGAATTGCCTCAAGGCAAGAAGGTAATTGATTTCAAGTGGGTATACAAATTAAAAATGAATTTCAAAGGGGGAGTAAATCGACACAAAGCAAGACTTGTGGCGAAAGGATTTCTACAAAAAGAAGGAATAGACTTTGATGAAGTTTTTGCACCTGTTGCTAGGATCAAAATAATCAGGTTGATTGTTGGTCTAGCAAAAATAAACAGATGACACATATGTCAGATGGACGTGAAATATGCATTCCTGAATGGACCCTTAGACGAAGAAGTTTATGTTAAACAAACAGTTGAGTTTGTGAAACACGACGAAGAGAGAAAGGTGTACAAGCTGCATAAAGCCCTGTATAGATTGAAACAAGCTCCAAGATCTTGGAATAAGAAAATTGATAGTTTTCTAAGGGAGGAGGAATTTGTGAAGTGCACAACTGAACATGGAGTATATGTAAGAAGAAGCAACTTTGAATTGCTTATACTATGTCTCTATGTCGATGATTTATTGATAACAGGTAGCTGCAAAAGTGAGATCGAAGACTTCATAGGTGATCTCAACAAGGAATTCGAAATATTTGATCTGAGTGAGATTTCATATTTTGTTGGCATTGAATTTTACAAGAGCAGTAGAGGTTTGATGATGCATCAAAGAAGATATGCAAGAGAAATTCTCAAGAGATTTGAGATGGAAGAATGCAACTTAACTTCAATACCTGCAGAATCAAGATTGTAATTGTCGAAAGATACAGATGAAGATGATGTCGACCCAACACAATATAAAAGACTTATTGGGTCATTGAGATACCTTTGTCATACAAGGCCTGACTTAGCATATAGTGTTGGCATGGTAAGTAGATTCATGCAAAAACCAAAGGTATCATATCTAGGAGCGGTGAAGAGGATACTAAGGTATCTCAAAGGAACTCTCGACTATGATATTTTGTTTTCTGCAACTGATAAAGGAATAGAATGCAAGTTAGTAGGATACACTGATTCGAGTTGGTGTAGTGATGCTGAAGATCGACAATCAACAACAGTATATGTGTTTATGTTAGGTGGTGCACCAGTTTCTTGGAGTTCAAGAAAGGAACCAGTAGTGGCATTATCATCATGCGAAGCAGAATACAAAGTTGCTTCTCTTTGTGCATGTAAAGCAACTTGGATGGTGAACTTGGTCGAAGAGATAACATGGAAAGATCATGGAGAAATTACCATGAAGATCGACATCACGTCATCTATCAATCTGGCGAAGAACCTGATAGCACATGGTCGAAGCAAGCACATCGAAATGAGGTTCCACTATCTTCGAGAGCAGGTAACGGATGGAAAGATGAATTTGGAATAGTGCAGAAATGAGAATCAGATTGGAGACATCATTGACGAAGGGAGTGCAAGTCGAAGTATTCAGAAGACTAAGAACCATGATGGATATAGATAGTTTAGACACAAAGAATTAGGTGGTGTGTTAAATCGTAATTTGATTATGTCAAAATAATGTGTGTGTCAAAGGGAGGTTGCCCAGTCGAAGAGCTTGTGGATCGAAGCAAGCTACACACATATTTGATTGGTTTTAGATTTAGATAAATTTGATTAGATCTAAAATAGATTGATTTGATTTAGTACCAAAATAGGTATTTTGGGATTTTATAATTTTGGACTTTGTCTTAGGAGCAAGCTAACCTAAATCTATAAATAGAGGGAGTAACCCCTAATTTTGTAATTAAGTCAAGTCATTGTAATCACAAAATTTGCAGTTGTAAGTGATTAATAAAGTTTTCCACAGTTTGTGGGCAGAGAGAAACTCTGTAGAAAATAATTGTCTTCTTTATTTTCTTTTTTTTTCCTCATAATTCATTGTCATTGTGTGGTGATATCAATCTTGTTTATCAAGATTGGTAGAAATTCATCATAGATATTTGGTGGATTTCCAACAAATCCAACAAAAAAAATTTTTCGGTTCAAGAAACCACAAAAAAGTAACATCAACAAACCTGAAAATGCTATGTTTAGCTATTTTTTATCAGCAAACCTGAAAATGCAATGTTTAGATATTTTTGATCAGCAAACCTGAGCATGAGGATAAGAGTAAGAAAAGCATTTTCTTTTTTCGTTTCGAGTTGTGACAGTCTGAGATGGAGAAGCGAAGGTTGACGATAGAGTTGCTCGAAACAAAAATCTAATTGTTTATTAGAAAGACAGTGAGATGAGGAATATGAATATGTCATTGATTTTTCTATTGGGGTGATAGATGTCGTATATTGAACGGATAAAGGAGCGACAATATTAGGGTTTGAGGGGAAAGAGAGAAAAAAAAGAAAACATGAAGAGAGACAGAAGTGTGGAAAGTGAAAACACCGGAGTATTGGTGATGTGGTGGAAAAAAGAATGAAAAATATATTTTCTGTATTGAAACACACGACTATTGATAAAGGGTGTGGCCACTTTGTAAAAACGGTCTCTTTGATTGGACAATACAATTTAATTTAGTCAATTATGTTTAAGGATAATTTATAATATAAAATAGTTATGTTAGAAAGGGTAAATTAGAGAGATCCCTAGTATTTTCTAATCTTAGTAAGATACTTGATAAGTTTGAGTTCATAGTCTTCTATCTCGTTAGATAGATAGTTGACAAGTCTCTGTCATATGAATCATACTATAGCCTCATTTCATTGTTAATCTCTATGCATATATCGTGGTCCATAGTTGACTTGTTGATCTCATTCAACCAATCACCTCAACAAGAGCGACGAAGATGAAATTGATACTATTCTTTCTCCTCACATTCTTTTGGATCTCTGCAGAATGCATTCATCCTCACCCACTTGATCCTCTAACCCGTTCCGAACTCAACCTTGTTCGAACAATAATCCACAAATCATACCAAACATCAACCAAACCAAACAACATCACTTTTCAATACATAGGATTACACGAACCCGACAAACCAGTTATCCAATCATGGCTATCCTCAAACACCAAAACCAAACCTCTTCCACCACCACCTCGTCGAGCCTTCATCATAGCCAGGTTCCAAAAACAGTCCCTCGAAATCAAACTAGATTTTCCATCTCGTTCCATAATCTCAACAAAAATCTACAAAGGACACGGCTACCCTATGCTCACCTTCGGTGAACAATCCATTGCCTCACAGTTACCATTCACCCATGAACCGTTTCACCATTCGCTAAACAAAAGAGGTCTTAACATGTCTCATGTTATTTGTGCTGCTTTCACAGTAGGTTGGTTTGGAGAGGAAAAGACCAAAAGAACAGTGAAAGTGAAGTGTTATTACAAGAAGGGTTCTGTTAATTTGTATGTGAGGCCACTGGAGGGTGTGGCAGTTGTGGTTGATCTTGATGAAATGAAAATTATTGGTTACTCTGATAAACATGTGATTCCAGTGCCCAAAGGGGAAGGCACAGAGTATCGAGCTTCTAAGATGAAACCACCGTTTGGTCCAAAGCTTAAAGGCATAGCTGTCAATCAACACGACGGACCTGGTTTCACTATCCAAGGACACTCCGTGAGGTAACATTATCAAAATATACTCATGGTAATTTTATGGTATTTTAATGAGTATGAGGCTCAATTATTAAATCATTAAATTTTAATTTATTCCTATTTAAGTAAATTAACCCTAACATTGTAATCACAACTTTGAAATATATGGAAAAAAAACTATCCCTTTTTAATCATTTTTCTTTGATCAGTTGGGCCAATTGGGTCTTCCATTTGGGATTCGACATTCAAGCTGGTCCAATAATTTCTCTAGCATCAATTTATGATTTGGAAAAGCAGCAATATCGTCAAGTACTATACAAAGGATTCATATCAGAGGTGTTTGTGCCATACCAAGACCCAACTGAGGAATGGTATTACACAACATACTTTGATTGTGGTGAATATGGTTTTGGACAATCTATGTCGTCATTACTACCTTTCACTGATTGTCCTGCAAATGCTGTGTTCATAGACGCGTATTATTCCAGTTCAGATGGTACTCCTGTTAAGATATCTAATGCTTTCTGCATATTTGAGAAGTATGCTGGTGATATCATGTGGCGTCACACAGAAATTGCGCTCCCAAATGAAGTGGTAATTTATTTGTCTTGAAAAAAATTCTCAAGTTTTATTTTTTGAATTTCAGTTGATATATAAATGTTTGTGTTTATGGCAGATAACTGAGGTTAGGTCTGATGTAAGCCTAGTAGTGAGAGCTGTTTCAACTGTGGGAAATTATGATTATGTTATTGATTGGGAGTTTAAACCAAGTGGTAGCATCAAACTTGGGGTATGGATTTCTACACTAAATATTTTATACACCCTACAATCATGATTTAGATATAAATCAGATACATTAATTATTCAATAAATTTAAAAAGATAATATTTATTTATAATAGTGAAGAGAGTAGCATCGAAACTAACTATATCTTATATTTTAAAATAGGTTGGACTTACAGGGATATTAGGGATTAAGGCAGGGACATATACCAATACAGATCAAATCAAAGAAGACATATATGGCACATTGATAGCTGATAACACCATTGGTGTCTACCATGACCATTTCCTTACTTATTATCTTGACCTCGACATTGATGGTGAAGCCAATTCCTTTGTCAAGGCAAATTTAGAGACAGTAAGAGTGAAAGATCAGAAAACACCAAGGAAAAGTTATTGGACTGTTGTAAAGGAAACAGCTAAAACAGAAAGTGATGCAAGAGTTAACATTGGTTTGAAGCCTTCTGAGTTAGTAGTGGTGAATCCTAATAAGAAAACAAAACTAGGAAATACAATAGGGTACCGTTTGGTTCCAGGATCAGTTGTGCATCCACTTATGGTAAGTGATGATTATCCACAAATTAGAGGTGCATTCACTAATTATAATGTGTGGGTGACACCATTCAACAAAAGTGAGAAATGGGCTGGAGGATTATATGTTGATCATAGCAGAGGTGATGATACTTTAGCTGTTTGGAGTCTCAGGTGAGTAAATTATATTAAACCTCACAAACTTATAATACAATTTAAATATGTAATATGCATAAAAAAAGATGTTTATGTTTTGATATGATGAATTGGATGTGTAGGGATAGAGAGATTGAGAACAAGGACATAGTCTTATGGTACACCATGGGATTTCATCATGTTCCTTCACAGGAAGATTTTCCGGTTATGCCAACGTTGAGTGGTGGATTTGAGCTGAGACCAACCAATTTCTTTGAGAGCAATCCAGTCCTTAAAACAAAATCACCAAAGTCCATGCACTGCGCTAACTGCACTTCTCAACATTACTATTGTTAGAATTTTATTTGTAACATTTCATATTAAATTTAATAATGTGGATTTATATTTTCTCAATACTAATATATTCATTCAGTTCAGGTAATGAATGTTGATAATTTTCTTGATTTGAATGATGTAACTTATATCAACATTTTTGAAACTTTTTCAACAAGTCACTAGAAACACTCGGTATTAGTACTATTCTTATCCGTCAAGTCTTTATTGTAGAATGTTTATATATGTAGTTTATATGTTTGATGGTGGTTATGAAGATGTCTCCAAATTATATTTGGATTTGAAAGGTCAAAATTAATTGAAAAAAATGTTTGGTTTGTGAGAAAAGTTTATGAATGTAATAGAATGACAGCTGAATTCGAAGAGCCGTAAAGTAAATATATGTTGAAGTGTAAATAACATGGAAATGTAAATGACTTAAGTGTACATTAAATAAATGAATTTAAAAAGACAATGTATTGGACTAAATATGTTTATTATCTAGCCGAAGGTCTATGAGCCCCTGAATAAGGGTACAATAGATATTTAGGTAGTGAGTCACTATTTTCTAGAAGGATCTAGAAAGATCTCTTATAGTGAGTAATTTGTAAGTTTGTTAGAATATATGCCAATGTTATAAGTAGGTGATTGGTAAATATAATGAGCATCAAGAAAATGAATGAGAAAGTTACTTTTAGAATAGTTTAGCATCTTTTAGTGTTTCTCTATCCATCAAAAATCATGTTCATAACAAATGGTGTTTTCATTGTGATGAATTCTCCTCACTACAATTATTATCATGACTTTCATCATAATCCTACAATCATCAACATTCATTCGGTCCTTATTAAAACCACAAACATATCAATATTCAACTCAATGTAATGTCATCGATGCTACCTACGTATCACCTTCCATAATTACACCATCCCAACCACTAGGGGTGTTTAAAACGAACCGGCCTAATAGAAAACCGTTAAGCCGAATCAGATCAATCCAACCACATTTAGTTTGGATGTGTTTGAGCCATTTTTAAAAAAATCACACGATTTGGTTTGGGTTGCAATTTGTATTTTACAAACTGAATCAAACCAAACTAAACTAAACCACATTATGTTAGAAGGATTTGATACATCCAAGAATGATCTTATCGGTGATCAGGAAAGGAGTGGTCGATCCAAATGTCAAATGATCTAAGCGTCCCACGGAGGTGGGGTTGTACCTGCAAGACACTTTGATGCTGAAGTCAAGAAGAGTGTAGAGGTAAGTGAGAGAGAGAGAGAGAGTTAGAGATGTGAATAAAATACATGACTCTCAAATAGAGAAGGGTATTTATAGAGCAAGGCCAATGGTCTCCATTATAGGCTAACGGTCCAGGCCCATAATGGATGATTGTCAGGGTTCCTGTGTGGAAGTAGGGATAAGCAGCACATGTTCATTCCCCTGGTCAACGGTCCCGCCATTCTCGGATTATGGAAGAACTTTCTTATTGCACGGGGCAAGACGATTATACCACTCGTGAAATGTGGGTGGTTAGTTGATGACGTGTCCTCGGGTGAGGGGCGCGCGGAGAATGTGTCTTCAACTTAGGCCCCAATGGATTGGGCTATCATTTGGGCCGTCCTCGACACAGGGGTGAGTTGGGTCATGCCCGACAGTGGGCCAGTCGCAGGCTCAGTCCAAAACAGGAGCCCCCCAAGTTATTACTCATAAGTAGAGGAGTAATGACTTAGAGTCAATTCGAGAGTCAAGGAGGAACTAGGGGCTATGTGTGAGGCGAGCCTTCATTTGTGTTCGCGATTGTGTGCTTGCAATTGCATGCTCGTGATGATGGTGTTCATCATGGGTGTTTCTTATTTGTGAGCTAGTACGCATGAGGATGATATCTTGCTCGTGACTTGTATTGATTTTGCTTGCGAGGGTGATATAGAGTGCAAGGGTCGTGGTTGACAGCTTAGCTCTTGCTCGCGTCGAGCGCTTGGCTTTGCTCGCGAGTCACCACGTTGTCTGTAACTTTACTTTGAGGTTTCCTATGATGGTGTGCCCGTGAAGGAATACAAAAGTTTTTGTTTGCGTCCGAGCAAGATTTCCCGACGTCTAGGGAGCCGGAAGATTGACGGATCTTGAAAAGACAAAAGACTCGTCCCTCGAGCCATGCGTCACAACATTTAATGTGTAATTATGGCCTAGGCGTAGGGGTAATCATGAGTTGAAACGACGACAAGCTACCACAAGCATTGTCACGCTTTCCCGCATAGAGAATTGTTTATAAATGGGGAGAGTGGAAGACATTTACAAAGTTCACTTTATTTGAAAAGTTACGCTCTCTCTCACTCTCCGTATCTTTTCCGATTTGCAAAGCATTTCCATCATTCTCGTCGCTGTTCGCGGTCACTATTGCTGCTAAATCATCATCAACTTTGCTTCTTCCTACAACCAAGTAAGTATCCTTTTGATTATTCCTGTTTTACCATTTTCTCTTACTTGTTTTTGTGTGTTTTGCTTGTTTAGCTCTGACGACGTTGGTGTTTGGCGATGGTTTGGACATTCCTAAACGCTGACGCCAGTGATAAATGCTAGGATTTTGGGTAGGAACTTAGAATTTGCGTGATATCCGGTTCGGTGCTGCCGTTACGACGGCGGGTAGAATGTGCACTGGCGAGACTCATGAGTTCCTCATGAATTTCATGTGTCGGGGAGGTTCTTCCCCACGAGATTCATGGGTCTCCAATGAAGTTCATGTGTCGGGGAGGTTCTTCCCTGCGAGGTTCATGAGTCTCCAATGAAGTTTATGTGTCAGGGAGGTTCTTCCCTGCGAGATTCATGAGCCTCGGTGGGGAGTTGTCTCGCGATTTGTTGGTGGGTCAGCTGAGCCCTTCGTCAAGGAGAAGGTCCTCACAATTTCCTTTCCATTGAATAAGGGCTTTGGTCGAGGGCAGCATCCTCGTGCCTTCTTACGCCCATTCACTTGATTTATGGTGGAAGGGTGCATTTAATTTGACCGTTGAATTCACTATTTTCCTCTTATTTTCAGGTTTGATGACTCGTAGCACTGAGGGCCTTTGTGTGGTCGACGCGATCATTGATCATGCGTTGTAGTGGGTCGGGATGGAACCTCAAGGGATAGTCTCGCGCTTCACTGACTTCCCGAAGGAAGCGTTTGCAATCATTGAGATAGGTGCGGTCCGTGAATGGGAAGTGAATTGGTCGATCTACAAACCTAACCCGGTGTACGAGTTTGTTTTCAAAGAGTTGGGGCTTAGGCTGCTGTTTAACGATCTTCAGATTGGCATTTTTAACCATTTAGAGTTAGTGCCCTCCCAGATGCATCCTAATTCGATCGCGTTCATCCGTGCATTCGAGATAGTGTGCATGTATCTTGAGATCGGCGCCACCATTCCCTTATTCTTCCATTGTTTCCACCTTCGGCGATAAACTATAAATGAGAGGCATAGCTGGGTGTCCCTCAAGCAGACGAAGAATCTTTTTAAGACGTTTACAGACTTCGTCCGCTATTTTAATGACATGTATTACCTCGTTAAGCACGTGTCGCGAGTGGCCTTAGATTTCGTGTTCAGGCAGGAGGTGGTAACCAAGGAAGACAGGAGCATGCACCATGATGAGGATGGGGAGGAAGTGATGAGGCTGGTCTCGAAGTTTCCTCTTTACTGGAGCGACGACCACTTTGCAGAGGGCACGTATTACTATATCACTAAGCTCGTCTATTTGGAACTTGAGGACAAAGAATACTATAATAAACTCAGGAAGTTCATTGATGGTTTCGCTCCTGCTCAGTGAGAGACTAAGAATGAGGAGGTGGTCCTTGACAAGCAGGGCCAAGCAATCTATGAGGCTCTATATATTAATACCAAGGAGCTCCTCGAGTGAGAATCTATCGAGGCTGCTATATTTCTTTTAGGTAGATTTGTGTTTTATTTAGTGTGTTTACATGTTTTTATCTTCTTTGGTATTCTAATCTTGGGCCCGTCATTTGTCACAGATAAAATATCTAACCTTCATGAACGTGTGTGTAGCGGTAGAAATGTTGAGACTAAGCCATTGGATTGACTTAACTCGCACAGATCAAATAAAAACCACCACTGCTCTTTATTGTTTCTAGAGGAATGAGAAAAGAGCGAATAACCCAAAAAATAGGGGGAGAGAATCTAAGTACGGGGGTTAGTTATGCAAAGGGAAGGTATTAGCACCCTAAACATCTACGGTACTCCGCAGGAACCTCTTTGAAAATTTGTGTATTTTGGATATAAATGTTGTATATAAAAATAGATGGTGGAGGTGAGAAGAGAAATATTTTTTACGAATTTTGCACCCGTTGCGGTTGCGAACTTTTAGTGCCTACGTATCACCTTCTGTGCAATAGGGGATCAGGGTACTCGTAGTTCACCTTTAAATATTTTAAAACACATGTGTGTTGGTTAATTTTAAGAGAAGAGACATCATTGTCTTATTCGAGTGGAAGAACATACTTACTACCCACGATTATAAGAAATGAGAATTTGCATCATCTCAATGTGGAGGATATAGCTTGGATTTTAAAATCAACAAAGCCTCGCTTAACACCCAAGTGAAAAATATCTCGCTTCACTATATATCGTAGAAGTATAGTAGCTCGCATCACTACAAGGATTGACAAGAATCTTATCTTTTGAGAAAATTTTAAAGTAAAATGCCAAAGTGGCAAAATGGTTTGAATGAGATTAATTGACTTTTAGTCTTCTCACAAAAAATGTCAAAGTATGATTAAGTTGGTTAAAGTTTAATTAAGAAAATATTTTTTAAAAATTCATGGATATAAGTCCAAGTTTATTGTGAAAGCGGTTAAAGTTAGAAAACAAGAAGATTTTTGAAAAAGAGGGAGAAGATTTTTAAAATTAAAGAAGATGGGAGGAGATGAAGGGACTATCCTAAAGCATAAGGTAAAAGTTAGGGAAAAGAAATGTCTAACCAACAAGAAGCCAACACTTGACATAAAGAGTAAATGTAGAATTCCCATCCTTCGGATT